CCTGCACAGGAATAATAAGTATGGAAAACCAGAGTTTTGGTAACAGCACTCCCTGCTCGGGTAGTGCACATACATGAGTCACAGTCCAAAACCTGGGGGTCCCCAGGTAGAGAGATGACGAAAATTAGCAAGAAGAACACACAGGGGAGACTCATCCTCAAAGGTGAGATGGGCGACTCCTCAAGCTTCCACTGTGCATAGACTAGTCAGCTTCCAGAGTGACTAGAGGAGTGACTAGAGCAGGGCTGACATCTCATTGTCTGTGGTCTCCTGTTGTCCCCTGGGAAGCAGTGTCCTGTCAAGGAAAGGTGCAAGCGTTCCAAAGGGTGATCTTGCATGGTGAGGTTGGGTCAGGAATGCACTCCCACTCAAGGGAAGCTGGCTTCACTCGGCTGTGGTGGATCCAGGGAACAATCTCTGCTACTTTAACTGCAGTAAGGGGGCTTTAGTAGTTGAATATTACATTCCTTTACCCAAACGGCATCCCCTGGTTTATAAGGGTACATGGGAGTTGTCAGGCTAATGGGGAGTCTCTCTCTTACCCAGTCATTGATTTTTGAGAGCATCAACTCAAGGGCCTATATATGCTGTCTCAGGGTGAGGTCACCTATTTCCTTAAGATTCCCTTGCAGGTTCTTGAATAACGGGTGTGGACATCCAAAAAAGAATTTGAAAAGGGGAGAGACATATCCGCTTGGTGGGGCTTGACCTAATCCTGAGCAAGACTATGGGTGGTAATTGATCCCATTGTAGGTGGGTGTCCTGGCGTAGTTTTCCCAATTGTAATTTTAGAGTCCTGTTTATATGTTCTACTTTCCCTGAGCTCTGTGGGTGGTGGGCCATGTATAGCTTCCAAGTTATTCCTAATCCCTTACCCATCAACTGTACCACCTCAGCCACAAAGGCCTGCCCATTGCCTGACCCAATAGACACAGGTGTTCCGAATTGAGGGATGATTTCCTTTAACAGGCACCTGGCCACTTCTCCTGCTTTCTCAGTCTGAGTGGGGAAGGCTTCCACCCATCCTGAGAAGGTGCAGACAAACACCAGCAAATATTTACAACCTCTGGCCCGTGGCATCTCAGTAAAGTCCACAATCAGGTTTTCAAAAGGAGTTCCTCCAACACTTTGCATCTGGGATAGTGCTCTTGGCCCTTGTCGGGGATTGTTTTTGGCACACAAACTGCACCTCTCACATACTGTCTTACTTATGATAGAGAGCTTGAGGACATGAAAATGCTGGACCAAGGTGGTCTCGAGAGCTGTCCTCCCTGAGTGAGTTCCTTCATGGAACTTCTTGACAAATGTGGGAGCCAGGTATGGCATACTCAGGTATGGCAATGCAGCCATCAGTAAACTTTCCTCCTTCAGTCTCAAACCAAGCCTGTTCTTGTGAAATATACCATGAGTCCCATTCAGATAAGGGGCACACGAACAAGGCAGCTGCCAGTGAGGCCAAGGTTGGTCCTCTTGTGAGGGCTGCCCACTTGGCTTCCCTATCAGCCTTTTTATTTCCCCAAACAGATGATGTCTCCCCCTTCTGGTGCCCTCAACAGTGCATGACCACTACTTGCTTAGGAGACCATACAGCTTCTAGTAATTCCAGATTTTCTTGTCCATATTTAACACTTTTCCTCCTGAATTAATGAGCCTCCTTTTTTTATATAGGGCTCCATGGACATGAATAGTAGTGAAGGCATATTTAGAGTCCATATAGATATTTACTCACACTCCTGCAGTGAGCTGGAACACCCACATGGGAGCAATAAGCTCAGCCTTTTGTGCAGATGTCCCAACTGGCAGAGGTCATGCTTCAATGTCATAATGCATATCTGGCAAAATGTGTGCCTTCCTGGACAAAGCTGCTGCCATCCGTGAAATACTCAACATCCAAATGACTAATAGGCTGGTCAGTCAAGTCTGCCGGCTGGAGAATACCTCATCTATAATCTCTAAACAGTCATGCTCTGGTGGGCCTGAATGAACTGGTAATAGGTTGGCTGGCTTTAGAGTCTTAACAATCTCTAGCCAGATACATAGGTTTCATATAACATGATTTGATATTTGACAATTAGGGAGTTTGTTAACCAATAATTTCCTTTATAGTCCACAAGAGTCAAAACAGAGTGGGGAACTCTGTGAGTTCTTGTCCCAAACTAAATTTGCCTGCTTTAGCCACCAAGACAGCAGTGGCTGCCAGAGTGCACAGGCAGGGCAGCCAGCATCAGGAAACTGCATCAAGTTGCTTTGATAAATAGGCCACCAGGTGGTGCCAGGAACCTTAGCAGCTAGGTCAAGATTCCTACAGCTGTTCCCAATCTTTCATGTACATATAGGAAGAAGAGCTTCATCACATCTGGCAGGCCCAGAGTTGGGGCATTTTTGAGTGCCCTCTTAATTTCTTTAAAGGCCTTTTTTTGCTTTCTCCCCATTTCATGGATTCCTGCTCTCCCCTCTTTGTGGCTTCATAAAGGGGTTTTGCCAAGAGAGAGTAATTGGAGATTCAGATCCAGCAGGAACCTGAAGCTCCTAGAAACTCTCCAACCTGTCAATGGGTCTTAGGGTCAGAATGGAGCAGACAGACTGTTTCCTCTCAGGACCCAGTCTACATTGTTCTTGTGACAGGTGAAACCTAAGGTATCCTGACAAATCTGAACCTTCTTTCGGGAAACCTTATATCCTGCCTTCTACAAATGGGAGAGAAGGAGGCAAATTCCTTCTATATAATCCTCCTGAGTTGTCTCAGCCAACAGAAGATCATCTATGTACTGGAGGAGTGTGCAGCCATGCTGGTTGGCTGAGAAAGCCTTTAGGTCAGATGCCAGGGCAGTCCCAAAGATAGTGGGAGAGTTTTTGAAGTCTTGTGGCAACTGAGTCTGAGTCAATTGTCCCTTTTCTCCAGTACTAGAATTTTCCCATTGGAAGGCAAAGATGGGTTAGCTCTGTGGGGCCAAGAGGATGCAGAAAAATACATCCTTAAGATCCAGGCAAGTAAAGAATTTTGCCTCAGCTTGGGTAAGGCCCAAAAGTGTATACAGGTTTGAGACTACAGGGTGTAAAGTAACAGTTGCTGAATTGACTGCACAGAGGTCCTGAACTGGCCTAAAGTCTTCAGTACCTGGTTTTTGGACAGGCAATAGGGGGGTGTTCCAGGGAGACAAGGCCAAAGGATCCCATACTTCAGGAGTCTGACAAGATGATTTTGGATCCCAGCCTGGGTCTTGCAAGAAATGTAGTATTGCCTCTGGCTAACAGGGATGGCTCCCAGCTTTAATTCTATCCCCACCAGGGGTATGTTCCAAGCCAGTCTGGGAGCGGGGAAGTTGTCCTAGCCCATACTCCTGGAATCTTAAAGGGAAGTTCAGGCACATCTCAGGAATTTCTTTAGAGGCATAGAGTTGTCATTCCTCCTCCTGTGCAACCATGAGGGTTAGAATCTTGGCTTCAGGTCCTCTCAACTTTAAAACTGCCATGCCATCAGAGTCAAAGGTTAGATTGCACAACAAATCTCTGCCCATAAAGGCCACAGGGCAATAAAGAAGGTAAAGGAACTCATGTCCTACTTCATGCTTTCCAAGATTGCATTTTCTGAATAAGAGGAAGGGGTGGCAAGTTTGATTTCCCGTGGCCCCAACAATGTTTGCATGTCTCTGTGAGAGAGGGCCCATGGGTTAGATTACAGCCAAATGTGTCACACAGGTGTCTACCATTAGGTCAACAGAAAGGCCCCCATCTTCATTCAGACCATAGGCTTCTGGGGTCCCAATAGAATGGAGCCCGGTCTGTCCTAGTCCTTCTCACAATCTTCAAAAGTGGCCAGTCTGACAACATCTTCCTCCCAGGGGCTGCTTCTCCCCTGAGCAGGCCAATACTTTCCTTCAACAACTTGGCCTCAGCCTCTGGTCAGGGGGGCTTTCTGGGGGGTCCCTAGACCATTGGGGACATTCATTTTTCCAGTGTCATTCTTGACAACAGTAGGCACACTGGTCCTGCCTTAGTTCCTCTCTAGGGTGAGGCTGTTCCAGGTGCACTGACTGCCATCCATGGGGACTGCCTCTTCTTCTGCCATGGCCTGCATGCTGGCCCCTGCCCTACTGTTTGGGTAGAGCTCCAGCAAGGAGATCTACCTTCCTTTTCTCATCTTTCTATCAGCATCCTGTCTGGTTTCTTGATCTCAATTGACAAAGATTTTTGTGGCCACCTCCAGAAGCTGGCTGGCATTCATACTAGCAAACCCATCAAGCTTTTGCAACTTTCTCCTTATGTCCCCTGGGCCTGGCTGACAAAGTCTGCATTAATCATCCTCTGGTTTTCAGCCCCCTCTGTATCAAAAGGGGTGTACAGATGGAAGGCTCATAAAACTGACTTGGGCTCTCATCTGGCCCTTGATGGACTTCTGCTGTCTTACTCATATATATCGCCTTTTTTCCTCCTTCTTTCATACCTTCTAATAATGCCTCTTGATACCACTGAAGCCACTGGTAATTTCTGGTAATTAGGGTCCCACTGGGGGTCCTCCTCAGGAAACTGGCCCTTAGCATAGGCTTGGACATTTAGAGTGTCCACAGGGGCATGGTCTTCCAGCCACCTTAGAGCTGCCAAGATTATACAGCATTGCTCCTCAATATTAAATAGAGTCAGAAGAAGCTGTCAGCAGTTTGTCCAGGTGCAGTCTGTCCAGGTGAGTTTGGATGATGGACTGCATTAGATCAGTCAAGGCTTGAGGCTTTTCCACAAAAGGGGGCAGGTAAAGGTGCTTCCAATTAAGGAGATCTATGGTGGTGAAGGGCTGGTAGACAAATGTTTGCCTTCCTCCTTGTATCTGACCATGCTGGTCATAATATATTTGACCCTGGACTTCTCTCACAGGCATCTGCAGGGTGGTGGGTTCCCAAGGAGAGGCTAAGCCCATAGTGGGACTGTTCAAGTGTTCCTGGTTGAACCTAGGGGCTAGTCTGGCAGGGAGCTGTGGAGTGAGGACTGGTGGGTTCAAATTGAGCATGAGGTTCATGGGGCCTGAAGAAGATGGGATTGTTGCGGTCTCAAGGACTCCTAGGCTCAGCCTTATAAGCATATTTGCAGCTGGGGATTCCCCATCGGATGCTGCTTCCCCTTCCAAGCATAGAGATGAAGAGGCAGATGGTGGTGGCAAATGTGGGTACAGTAGCACATAAGAGGGTGGGGTCCCCTTAGGTGCTAATATGGGTTTCTCTGTCTTTTTACATTTTTCCCTGCACTTGGAAACTTCTACCCTGGCTACCATGACCCTACATGCTTCCTCTAGATGGAGCTTTAGCCACGTGGGTCAACTGAGGACTGCAGCAATCAATATAAGGATATTGATCTGGGTGTCCAGGTTCCCCTAAAACCACTTCAAAAATTCTATTGACTATGATCTTATCTAATGACCTCTCCAAGGGCTGTCCTACACCAAAATCAGACTAGTCTATTTCACAAGGTTATAAGCTTGCCAGGAGTCAGCTTGACCCCCATAATCTTCATTAAATCCCCTTTTAAGTTCTTAAACATGCACTCTAGTGTGGTTCTTATTCTGACCTCCTCCCATTCCTCCCATTTGCTAGATGTCAAGCCAAAGACAGAGATGGAAAGGATGAGGTCTGTGAAGAGGAGGTAAGGGGTCCTCCTCTCCAGCACACAGGGGAAAACAAATAACACCACTCACTTCATCCATCTCCAGCCACTCCTCTCATGGGGATTTAGGTGTCTCTTGGCCATAGTGAGTTCATATAAACCCCAGACTGGAGGGCTCACCCTAGACCATATGAGTTTGCCATGGACCCATAGATCAGGACTCTACACTCACTCAGGCTCACACTTTCACACACTCTCACACAGCACAGTACTTCCACCCCACTCCCTGAACCTGAAAGACATGGTTTCACCCCCAAAAGGGGGTTACTCAGGTGTCTTTGGGAGTTGATCAGACTCCCCTTCTGCCTCCTGAAGCAGGCCTGAATTTGAACCCAGGTTCTTACCAGACTGATGAGCAGGGCTCCCAAGTTGGTTCCCAAACCTTTCTGGGTTCCTTTGTGCAACTGGAACTCACCTCCTTGGTTTGCCAGGAGAGAGGCTATCTCCCCTAGGATCAATATGGTCTGGTGGTGCCTGGCAGAGGTGGCCCTCCCAGCGGGCCAGGGACACTGAGCCGGCAACAAGGAGGTGAAAACACCACCCTCCAAATCCCAGACAAGCACCCCAGAAATGTTGCAGGAGGGCTCAGACAGAGACAGAGAGGGCACCAAAGCTTTCAGGAAGCAAGTTTATTATGCAGGCCAGCAGTGACTCAATGGACTCAAGTCCAAAGGCTGAGCCCCAAGAACAAAGGGTGCCTTCATTATATACCATTTAGAGCAGGTTACAGAAATGGAGGGGGTACAGCTTGTCCCATACATGGTCACACACTATCTCATTGGCTGCTTTAACCTCTGGGATGAGGTGAGCCTTCTTTGGTCTCCAGGTAACATTCCCAAAATCTGGCTTTTCTCCTGAGCTGCCGGTTCACAAAAGAGGCACCTGGTCCTCACCAAGTGCACACGAGTGGCACCAACAGCCAAAAACTGGATTTTATTAAGAGATGTGAGCAGTGCAATTGTGTAGGACAAGGACCTGTGAGGCCCTCAGTGGTATCTTCTCAGACCTTCAGTGTCTCTGAGAGATTGTGGGGGATGCGCCAGACTCTGCTGTGGGGATATTATATAATACATTAAAACAGATACTTGTGGCACCTTACTACCTTTCTCAGATCTGAAAAACCCCAAATTCTAAAATACAGCTGACCTCAGGAGTCTTGGGTAAGGGATTATGAGCTTGTTTTGTCAACCCCTTCTTGTAATTGAGGAAGACGAGGCCCGTGGGGGATAAAAACTATCAGTAGACTGACAGTCCATTTTCTGAAAGTCACTCCCAGGTGCCAGAGTGGCTGGGAGGTACAGTGACCCCTCAGACAGGTGTTCCTCAGTCAGGTGCCATGCCTCAGGACCACACATCCTGGACATCTAGCCTGAGGTGGATCTCAAGTGGGGAAAAGCCCACCCTGACATTGCTGTGTTTCTTGCTTCTACAAGAGCTGAGGAAGTCTGTAACTGTTCATCTCTACTTTGTTTCCTCCCTGACAGACTTTCTTGGCATTGTCAAAATTTAAGTTTTCCTTTCCCTTATGAATGTTATAGAATAATATTTTTTAAGAGGCCTGATGATCTTTTGTTGAAAGTGAAAAGTGCTTAGAGAGGCTACAGTGCTCTGGCCAGTCCTCCCAGGTCTGTCAAGGAGGCAGCGCAGCCATTTCTTACTGCAGGGCTTTGCTGTCCATGTCTCCATGGGGTGAATTTCCCACAAAAAAACCCAAAAACAAAAACCTTTAACCCTCAATAAGCCCTCTCAACATTTCACGGAAAAAAATGGTAAACATTTTTAAAAGCTGATATGTTGGGAGATTCCAAGATGGCAACTAGAGGGAGGAAGCAGAAAGTGTGCCTCCTAAAGTAAAATCTTGGAGAGATGCTGGAGACACACCTTACAGGAAAAACCACTGAGAAGAGGCAAAACTTTGACTCCTCCGCACCCCCAGCCCACGCATAGCATCTCTACTTCACATTAAATGGAGAAACTAGGAGGGCTCCCACACCGCCAGACACCACCTCCCAGATGGCTTGGGAAGACCCAGACCACAAGGTGAGCTAAGTGGCACATGGTACTCCCACAGACAACCCTGGGCCAGATCAGCATAGCCCCCTGGACGGACCAACCCCCACCCAGGGAAAAAAGAAAAAAAACTGAATAATAAGCAACAACAAAAAAGACACATAGCAAAGAGGGCAGGGTGCCCTGAGCACTGAAGCAGGGGGGAAGGGGCAATCCTTTACAAAACTGTAAATAAACAAGCCTGCTGGAGAAGGCAGGAGCGGCGGCACATGCCCAGCAACCTTGGAGCAGGAAAGCTTGTAAAAGTGGCAGTGGGAGGAAAACTCCACAGGAGAGGGGGGAAGGCCCACTTCCCACATGCGCTGTAAATAAACACGGCGGCCTGAGAAAGCGGGTGCAGTGTCACCTCCCCCAGTGTGCTTGGAAAGGGGAAAGCTTGTAGCAGAGGCTCCTGCACAGGAGAACTCTGAGCAAACAAAGCCTGCAGGGCCAGGTGAGTGTTAAGCTCACCCCAGAGATCTGCATAAATAACGCCTCCAGCAACAGCAGGCTGACAGCAGTGGGCAGGTGAGCCACAGCTCCAAATACCATTCACAGAACTGTCTCCAGACTCTTTTTTTTCTAACTTCCTTTGATGAGACAACAACTGAACTACACCTGCATGCTGAAAAATTTACTGAAACTATTGCATTTGAACTTGGGACACTTTGTAGTGTTTTTTTTTTGTTTGTTTGTTTTGTTTGGACTTTTTTGGTTTTTTCCCCTTTGATGAGACAACAGAACTACTTCTGAGACACATATCCAGGATTGGAGGCTGAGGGACTAACAACAAATTAATAAGACCGAAACTTTATTGCATTTGAACTTGGAGAATTTTTTTTCAATCCTCTCTCTGTCTCCCTAATGCCTGTTTAGCTTACTGTTGATTAGTGCACTATCTCTCCCTGTTTATATCTTTGAAACTTTTTGTTTGTTTGTTTTGGTTTTTTACTTGTTTATTTGTTTTTTCCTTTTTCTTTACCTTCTTTGCTTTCCCTCTCCTCTCACCCTTTCATTCTAAATATCACCATTGTAATTATTACAAGCTAGAAAATACTTAATTGCACACAGTACAGGGACAATAACAACACCAAGGGCAATGATGGGAAGACAGAAAAAACAGGGAAACCAGTTTCCCCACAGCAAAAAATTAGTACAGGAACCAGAGGGAAATGAAGAAAACAGATACTCAGATCCAGACTCCAATAAAATGAAGAAAAACTATGCCAAAGAACCCAATGAAGCCCACAAGAATAATCCAAAAGAAGAAATACTACAGGTACTCAATGAGAATTTTATAGAGATGATACTGGATATGTCAACCAAAATGTACAGGAGACACTCAAGAAATTCCAAGACAACAAAATAGAGAATTTGAAAAGCACAAGAAGAAATAAAGAAACATAGAAGCACTGTATAAACACCAAAGTGAACAAAACACATGATTAATAAAGAGATAAATGAACTCAGGACAAAAATAGACAACATAAAGAGAAACGACTCAGGATATGGAAAACCTCAGAAAAAAGAACGAAACAGAATTGCAAAACAAAATGGAAGGCCAATCCAGCAGAATAGAACAAACAGAAGACAGAATCTCAGAACTCAAAGATGAAATGGTAATTAAAGGAAAAACCGAAGACTATTAGTTAAACAACTCAAGACCTGTGAAAAGAAAATGCAAAAACTCACGGACTCCATCAAAAGACCAAAGCTGAGAATCATGAGCATTGAAGAAGGAGAAGAGGTGCAAGCAAAGGCAATGCATAATATATTCAACAAAATAATAACAAAATTTCCCAAATCTAGAGAAATCATTCCCATACAGATGCAAGAGGCCTCCAGAAACACCAAACAGAACTACCCACAGCATATTATCATTAAAACAACAATACAGAAACTAGAAAAATACTGAAGGCTGTAAGAGAAAAAACAAATAACATACAAAGGTAAACCCATCAAAATCACAGCAGACTTCTCAACAGAAACATTAAAAGCAAGAAGAGCTTGGGTGAGATCTTCCGGGCACTGAATGAAAATAACTTCAACCCAGGATACTCTACCAGCAAAACTATCATTCAAAATAGATGGAGCAATAAAAGTCTTCCATGATAAGCAGAAACTAAAAAATTGTGACCACAAGCCACCACTACAAAAGATTCTTCAAGGGATTCTGCACACAGAAAGTGAAACCAACATAACCATGAAAGGGCAGGCAGCACCAAACTACAGGAAAAGAAAAAGCAAGAAAGTAGAGAGTAACCTCAATTAGGTACACACAATCAAACTTCAAACAACTAAGACAACTAAATGACAGGAATCACCACATACCTATCAGTACTAACACTTAATGTTAATGGACTTAATTCCCCATCAAAAGGCACCATTTGATGAAATGGATTAAAAAGGAAGATCCAACAATTTGTTGCTTACAGGAGACCCATCTCACCTGA